GATATCGATACTTATTGGAGCCGGCATCGGTGTCACCCCATTCGCAAGTATTCTTAAAAGTATCTGGTGAGTCACGATAATTACGAAAGTAGTGCTTGGATCTGTTATCCGTTAGATACACAGTCAGACTATAATTGCATCCTCTATTAATGCATCCATTATGTGAATTCTCTCTAAATGGACGCTCTGGCATAATCCCAAGTATATAGAACCATAGTAAAAATACTCTTTATAAATGCTCTCCCTAAATAACCATTTTTTAAGAATTCGTTCTATGGTCTCGAGAAGGTTGCAATTATAGAGGTCTGACTGTAAATTTAATTAGGATATCTGTAATATGGAAACAGATAACGGATCCGAGCTTTACACGAACGTATTACTAGTTTATTTTATACTCTTTGATGCTTTGCAAAAACATAATAGGTATAAAGTCAACTATCCGAAAAAATCGACCTTGCTTCGAAAAGCATATTTCATCTGGGTTTGTCGCGATTATAAAGTGAGGATATATTTAATAAATTCATATTGTCCAATTATTTTTTTTTGCCGACGATATTAATTACTAAAATTTTTTTCTTTATTAAAGTCCCTTGAATGGTTTCATTCATTATTATTAGCTATCGAGGAGCAAGATATTGAACAATTTATTGAAATTCGTATTTATTTAACTGGCCATCTACGTGATTCTGAAGTGAGAAATATTTATATGAATGTTGGTGATACAAAAGATGCTGTTACAGGTTTTAGAACATCAACACATTATGGACGTCCTGTATGGGATAAAATTTTTGAAGAAATGACAGATCAGTATCCAGCCACTGATATAGGTGTTTTCTTTTGTGGGCCAAAACCTATTGGAAAACAATTGCATGAAAAATGTAATTTATGGAGCCAAAGCTTTGAAGACGGTACAAAGTTTATCTATGGAAAAGGTGAGTTTCTCATCATTTACTTTGCTATTATAATCAGTAATATATGAATAACCTTACTAACTTTTTTTCACCATTAAAAAAGAAAATTTTTAAGTTTAAAAGACGTTAATCAATAATAATTGAGTCGCATTATAAATATATTTTAATAAAGTAATTGAAATTTAATTTTGCATAATAAAGATTATTAATTAATAAAAAAACAACTTAGTTGAAATTTGCCCGTGACAAATTATACATATATGTGTGAACATAAATTTTTTTTTTTTACAAGTCATGAAAATCTTTTCCGGCAATTGTAGCTTTAATGTAACCAGCTCTAATAACAAAATCACCAAATTTTTCGCCATTTATTTTTTCTTTTGCATAACGTTCTATAATCGGTCTCAACTCTCTCAAGATATCATCCTCTTTCAAATTTTCTTTATATAACTTATTCAATCTTTGACCATAAAAACCGCCTCCTAAATATAAATTATATGTTCCTAATGCTTTTCCTACAAAGGCAATCTCTGCTACATAAGGACGTGCGCAACCATTAGGACATCCTGTCATTCTAACCGTGATTGCATCCTTTTTTAAACCTACTTCAGTAGTAATGGTTTCTAATTTCTCCACAAGTAAGGGAAGATATCTTTCGGATTCTGCCATTGCTAAACCACATGTCGGCAATGCTACACATGACATGGAATTTAGTCGAAGTCCAGTATGCTGCAGGTTATCTAACTTATATTTTTTCAATAGTTCTTCAATTTGTGCTTTGTTCTCTTCGGTAATGTTACCAAGAACAAGATGTTGATTAGGTGTTAATCGGAAATCACCTTTATGTACTTTGGCGATTTCACGTAAACCAGTTTTAATGGGAGATCCGGGTAAATCTTTAACAACACCATTTTCAATGTAAATACCAAAATGCCACATACTATCAAAACCTTTTGTCCAACCATATCGATCTGCATTGTTTTCAAAGGTATATTCACGTGGTGGTTCAAGCTTATATCCTAGCCTAGTTTCAACTTCAGAACGGAACCAATCCAAGCTTCTATCATCGATAGTGTATTTGAGACGTGCATGTTTTCTATTGATTCGGTCCCCAAAATCTCTTTGAACTAACATAACTTTTTCACCAACATCGATGGCCTGTTCAGGAGTACAGAAACCAAGAAGTTCTCCAAGGCGTGGATAAGTTTTCTTGTTATTATGAGTCATCCCCATACCACCACCAACAGTAACGTTGTAACCTAACAATCTTTTATTAGTTTTGTCTGCAATTGCTATATACCCCAAGTCATGTGCAAACACGTCCACGTCGTTATTAGGAGGTACTGCGATTGCAACCTTAAATTTACGTGGAAGATATGTCGGACCATATAATGGTTCAAAATCTTGTACAGCTTTTCCAGCAACAACTTTGTCCTCCAACCAAATTTCATGATATGCTGTTGTTCTAGGGGGCAAGTGAGTGCTTAATTTCTTGGAGAATTCATGCACTTGTCCATGAACTTCAGAAAGGGAAGGATTAGAACTGCACATGACATTACGATTAACATCACCACATGCTGCTAATGTGTCCAACAAACACTTGTTAATACCACGAATAGTAGATTTTAAGTTGCGTTTAATAACAC